ATATATATATATATATACACACACAAATACAGCACTACTATTTTCTTAGTTGACAAAGCTTCCTGTGCAATTCAAGCATATCAAGTAGGCCTAATTAGTTCAAAACCTCTTCCTTACAGTGAAAAAACAAATCCTTTTGTCACCAGAAAGGGACCAGGCCTCTGGATGGCCAGTAGCATGTGGGTTCTTGAGTTTGTGCAGGAAAGACTTCACAATACGGGTCCAGGTGATTTTGAGAGGATATTTCTTAAAGCTGGGACAGTGAAACAAAGAACTGGCTTAGGGTAGAAAAAGCAACAAGAGAGAGCCTAGGGCCTAGGTGGTGCTCTGCTTTGGCTCCCGAGAAATGTTATAGGAAAGAGGTGAGCCAAGGCGGAGCTGCTGCTCGCTCACTGAAACGTCAGATAAAAGGGGGCCTTGGAGACGGTTCAGCGTGGGACGAGCTGCCTCTGCTTGTTGCTCCCCTGGTTGCAAGTCTCCTGGGGACCCTTAGAGTTCAGGGGAGAAAAGTAAAGATGCACACCTGAGAGGGAAGAAAGGCGTAGGCGTGCCCCAGAGAGAGCCCACTGTTGCTTTCAGTTGTATATCCCACATGTGAGTGAAAACATATGGTTCTTGACTTTTCCTGTCTTATTTCACTTAGCATGATATTCTCAAGATCCCCTCATGTTACAAATGGCAGTATTTCATCTTTTCTTATGGCTGAGTAGTATTCCATTGTCTCTGTGAACCACATCTTCTTTATTCAATCCTCTTTGGTTGTTTCCACATTGCTTTTTTATTTTTAAGGGCAACCAATAGCATCTTATTTGTGTGTTTTTTATCTTAGCATTTTGCTTGGTATTTTTTTTTGCATAGTATCTTTTATTTAAAAGTTATTTAAATGTTTGTGGTTTATATGCAGAATTAGAGATATGCAGAATTTGTTTACTGTGATGTCTACCTTTTAAAAAGTGTTTATTTTACAGTATAAAGCCCAATATCTAGTCTTCCCTCCTAGTAGAGGTGTGTGCTGGGTCCAGTGTGGGGGGCAATGTCTCAAAAGCATGACCCAGGGGGTGGGACTTGGTGAGGGGAAGAGAGATGTGATTGGAGAAGAAGCTACTTGGACTGAAGCAGACCATCCAAGAGAATGGTCAATCTGAAAAGGCTAAGCAGTGAGACAACAAAGGCTTGAGTCACAGGACCCGAAGCAGCATGACTGGCCTGGAACATTACTTTGTACCTTATTAAAGGTACAGGTTCAGGTTGGATGCAAAGACAATTGTAAAACTAAGTTTTATCTGGAAAAGATTTTCTTCCTTTCTTCTTTTTTCTTCCAGCAAAGATTATTTTAAAAATTTTTGGACAAAATGTATTGACTTTGGCTTTGCTAAGGCCACTCAACTGTTCACTATGACATGCACTGACTACCAGGGGGCAGATGCTCTGACCAGTAGGTTAGCTTGCTGCTGAGGTCTGGCCAATCAGGACTGAGCAAGATGGGCTGGACACACCCTGGAGCCCTCCGGTGGCCCCTCCCCAGCTGGCCAACCTCCCATGTCCCTCCCCAGACCCAATCATGCACTGGTGGGGTCCCTCGGCCTTGCCTGCATCCTTTTGCAATGTGGGACCCCTCGGGGGATGTTGGAGAGCTGGTTTGGGCCCAATAATGGAACGACTGGTCGCTATGACGCTCAATGCAGGAGCTGCCCCCTGGTGGTCAGTGTGCTCCCACAGGAGGAGTGCCGCTCATCCAGAAGCTGGGCTCATGGCTGGATGTCCAACTGCTGGCTTAGGCCCACTACATGGGAGTGGGCCTAAGCCGGCAGTCAGACATCCCCCAAGGGCTCTTGCACTGTGAGAGGGCACAGGCAGGGTTGAGGGACCCTCCCCGAAGTGCACAAATTTCATACACCAGGCCTCTAGTGTATCCCATCTAATAAAAGGGTGATATGCAAATTAACCGTCACTCTGTCACTCCGTCACTCCCTCACTTCATCACAAAGATGGCGGTGGCCACGGAGCTGGAGAGAGCAGGAGGCTTGGGTTGCCCCGGCGATGGAGGAAGCCAAGCTTCCCGCCTGCCCTGACTGGCATTGGGCTCCGCTCAAGGCTACAAAGTTTAAATTATAGAAGATAAATAAATCCCAGATACTTGCTTCCAGCCACCGTGGCCTCCACTCAAGGAGAGGCTGGGAGCCTCAGTTGCCAGGGGCAACCCAGACTTCCAGCTGGACCAAGGCTACAAAGTTTCAATTATAGAAGTTAAAAAAATCCCAGATACCTGCTTCCAGCCGGCGGCCGTGGCCAGCCTGAAAACGTCCATCAGCCCCTCACCCAGGCTGGCCAGGCACCCCAGTAGGAACCCCACCCTGATCCAGGACACCCTTCAGGGCAAACCAGCCGGCCCCCACCTGTGCACCAGGCCTCTATCCTATATAATAAAAGGGTAATATGCAAACTGACCCTAACAGCAGAAGGACTTGGAATGACTGGTCACTATGACACACACTGACCACCAGGGGGCAGACGCTCAATGCAGGAGCTGCCCCCTGGTGGTCAGTGTGCTCCCACAGGGGGAGCTCTGCTCATCCACAAGCCAGGCTGATGGCTGCCAGCACAGCGGTGGTGGCAGAAGCCTCTAAGCAGCACTAAGGATCTCCGACTGCAGCTTAGGCCCGTTCCCCACTGGCAAGTGGACATCCCTCGAGGGCTCCTGGGCTGCCAGAGGGATGTCTGACTGCCAGCTTAGGCCTGATCCCCCGGGGAGCAGGCCTAAACCAGCAGGTGGACATCCCCTGAGGGGTCCCCGACTGCGAGAGGGCACAGGCTGGGCTGAGGGGACCCCCCGCCCCGAGGGCACAAATTTTTGTGCACTGGGCCTCTTGTATATATATATTAGGTTAGCACTGGGAACTTCTCTTGGCTCCTGTGTATTGTAGAGGGATCTACCAGTAAAGAGTCTCTCATGCTATACATGCAACAAGGACAATAGCTGATGGTGCTGGCTGGCAGGGTTGCCACATTGAGGACGATTTACCCTGTTGTGTGTGTGTGTGTGTGTGTGTGTGTATCTTGACATCTAGTAGAGTCATTCAGGACAGTGGCTCTGGGCATCAGTCTTAAACTGTTCTCAGTCACTGAAGTCTCTATATCTGAGGGTGCCCTGAGATGCCTCAATCCATTCTCCTAAGTATGTAGGGGAATGCCTCTCTAAACCCCACATACACACATACATACAGACTCCTTAGGGATCATAATGCTTATTCAATACAAAACTGTTGAATTGCAGGTGTATTGTGCAGAGAAATAAGTGAAAAACCATTCCTTCTCCTGAAGGAGTTGAAGATCAAGGAGAGATTGGAGGACCCTACACTGCCCTTCCATTGAGCTGTGAGCTCAGCTGGGCTACAAGGCTCTCTCCCTGCTGAGGCTGACCTGGCAGAGCTACTGGTACATGGCCCTGTGGGCCTCCCAGCTGCCAGCAGCTGAGCTGGTGCTCCAACTCTTTCAAAACAGGTTGTCCACAAAATCAAGAAGAGGATCTGCAGGGTAAAGAGGCTATATGAGGAATGTTACCCCTAGATAAAAAGAAATTATTTAGCTTCCATGTGACGAAGACAGGAATTTCTCTTGCAGCTAGGAATGTTTAACTAGCTTATTCTTTTGCCCTGCCCTGTGGTTTACCCTGGTCTTATGCTCCCTTAAAAGGGCATAAAATGAGGTAACATGGATTCTCTTCATAACCTTCATCTGTTCATGGAAGAAACCTGTCAAACTAGAAATGTTACCAAGTGGCAAGATGTTAAAACATGCACTCGCCGAGGAGAAAGTAAAACTGGGAAGTGAAAGAAAGTGCCCATTCTTCTTTTTAAAAAAGTTATCTTCATTGTTGAGAGTATTACAGATATCCCCCATTTTTCCCTCCTTGTCCCCCACAACCCAGCTTCCACCCACCCCAGTCCTCCACTACACTATTGTCTGTGTGCATGGGTTATGCATATATGCATACAAGTTCTTTGTGTGATCTCTTCCAGCCCCCACCCCCACCCCACCCATTCCACTTCCCTCTGAGATTCTTTAGTCTATTCCATGATTCCATGTCTCTGGACCTGTTTTGTTCATCCAAAATACACCTGAATACCCAGAAGGGCAGAATAGGATTAGGGAACATGACTGAAGTGGACCAAAATTAGAAGGGGAAAGCTGAAAATACTAAAAGTAGATGAAGTTGGTAGGTTTCCCCCCCCCCCCCCACCCCCGCCCCTGTGTGTGTCCTCTGAATATAATTTGGTAAAATTATATATTATGGTATTCTATGGCATAATTTTGTTTGGGCTTAAATTCAATGTTTAAGTGGAATGAAAATTTTGGAAATTTCTTCTAACACCTAAAGGCCTTTATAGATTTTGAATAACTCAAAAAACCTTTATATTCACTTGCATATTAATTTATTTTTCTTTTACTCTTTGGTTAAAAAAATGACAAAGAACTGCCTGTTCTTACAGTTTGATAAAATATAATTTCAAACTCCTCTCTCCATCCTACTATTGCATTATTTGTTAATAAATAAACTGAAGAGCATGATGCTATTAATTCCATTCAACCTACTATTTCTTTGCGTGGTCTGCTTTTTTATTCAGAAGAATATATATATTACATTTTCAAATTTTTCACAGGGTCTTAAAAATAGTAAATACTACTATTTACTATTTTTATGTGTACACCACAAATAAAAACTCCTGGAATTATAGTAGGTATACCATGTTGTAACTGGCCAACTGGATCACCCCATTCAACAAAATAAACCAAAACAAAAGGTAACATTCATAATTTATATTACCAACTCCTCTGATTTGTTTAACAGAAGAAAGAGGCTGTAATTTTCCAAAGACCACATACCTGGTGTGGGCTTGGTGGACAGTATTTGCCTTCTCTGTAGCTGCACCTGTGCACCCCATAGTAGCTATAATAAATCACCAGGTGTGGTCAAGGCAACTAAGAAAAAAGAGGAGAAAAAGCAGAAAAATGACTGCTTTCCAGTGTTTGGTAGCATCAAACCACAGAGTTACCTCACATATTTTTCAGGTTATTGGGTCAAATAAATTAGCCCACACACTGACACGTGAAATGGCCAAGGATTCTGCCCTTGACACTTTCTTTTCTGTACATTCTTTGTGGGTGATCTCATCAGTCCCATGGCTTCGCTACCTTATGGTGGTAACTTCCAAACCTTTGTGGAGGGGAGACTGACCACGGATGACCCCAGTAGCTCTCTTTACTTTGTCTGACAAGAAGCAAATACACAGTCTCAACTCTATCCAAGGTACCCAGGTGCTGTCGGCATGCATGGACAACCTCCCTGACCCACTGGCACCCAAGCTTGACTCTTTTTTCCTCTGCTTGCTCTAGTCCAGCCGTGGGCAAACTACGGCCCGAGGGCCGGATCTGGCCCGTTTGAAATGAATAAAATTAAAAAAAAAAGAGACCGTACCCTTTTATGTAATGATGTTTACTTTGAATTTATATTAGTTCACACAAACACTCCATCCATGCTTTTGTTCCGGCCCTCCGGTCCAGTTTAAGAACCCATTGTGGCCCTCGAGTCAAAAAGTTTGCCCACCCCTGCTCTAGTCTCACCTTTGAAAAACACTGTTTTTGAGTTGTGGGTGCCAGGTCATAATGTACCCAGCCGGGTCCTGCCCGAGCATCCCAAGGGACAATGAGAGACTGATTACACAGGCATTGTGCTGGGCGGCCCCTCTGCCTGTGGTTCTGGCCGGCAGGGTAATTTGCCTGAGTCAGTTACTCAACAATTTCTATCTTTTGCTTAGATTTGTCACCTGAGCTCCAGATGTTTATATCCTGTCTACTTGACCTCTCCTTGTGAATGTCCCATAGGTTCCTCAAATGCAGGTTCTGTTCTTCCTCTATGGACCTCCTTCAGTTGATGGGATCGTTATCCTCCCAGATGTAGAGGCAAAACATCAGAATGACCTTCATTCAGTTCTACACTTTCTGTCTACAACCAAATGCGATTAAAGGATTGCTGCTGATACTTACGAAAAAGAAAAAGATGAATATGTGTGTAATGTTATCCAAAATGCACATCAAGTGCTTTACCGGTGAAGGCAGCTACAATTTCCTATCTGGATTTTCCTAATTGGCCCAATAAGAAAGTGTTTCTTACATCAGGAATTACGTTTTGATTTCCACTTACACTTATATAATTTTCAATATGATTTTTATTCAATAAGTGTTTATTAAGTTCAGAACTGATATTAATTCATTTGAGCCTAAACTTGCATGCTCATTTCTTTCACATATGTAAATTTCCTGGGATCAGATTCCTGCAGGCTTGTCCCTGCACGATTTTTAATAGTTCCTTCTTTCACTTTCACAAGTGTCTGGGTTTGGATGATAAATGACAGGTATGGTCACCCGACACATCTGATATATAATCTGAGTGTGCCCTTGTTTGACATTTTCTAAGCTCACCCTGCCCTTTAATACTCAACTAATTTAGTCTGAGCCCCCATCCTGAGAGGCTGCAGGAAAACCCTGCCTTTTAGGTTGTCCCTGTCTCCTTGGTGTGGAGCCTGCGGGGACAGAGGCCTGGCTTTTCTCTCTTTACTGCCACTTCCCGAGAGGCCATATTTCTGATTCACCAAAAACACAAAGTAAAATAAATATTTCTAAGAAAAATTTAAAGTAAAATAACATAAGGAAGAGAGAAAATTAAGAAAAACTAAAATGTTGAAATTAAAATATAGTGGCAAAAATACAATGAAAAGTGAACCATTACAAAATAAGATAATTATATTTAATTATAAAATAAAAATAACAAGCTACAATATGTAAAAAGAAAACCATGAACATAGATTAAGAAAAATTCTAAGTTAAACTAGGAATAAGTATAATTTCAATAAGATAGGAGTGATGTTTTAAAGAAAAATACAAATAAAGACAGAGTAAGGTGTTAATATAAGAAACATCCAAACCTGTAAGAATTTTTATGATTTTATTTGAGTCAAACTGACAACAATTGCCGGGAAGCAAACTATCAAAGGACTGAGAGAATGCTCTGGAAAATGGCAGGTTTATCACTTATTTTATACATCAGATTCAAAGGGGAAGATGTACATGAAATTCATTGGTGATAGATTAGGGAAGTGGAAGAAAGCAAAGTGGAGAAATCTCTGGGATTGGGTAAAAAGCAAAAAAACAAAGAGACACATCCTTCTTTTACATCTGTGGGTAAAGGATAATTAGCAGTTAACAATTAACATGATAACAATAACAGTAGGGGTTTTGTGATCTCTGCTCTGTGCAGCAATGGGTCTGGAAAAAAGGAAATTACCCTGATATTCCGAGGTATGTTATTACAGATGCAAAAAGACAATAGGCTCAGTTAGGTAAAGACTGACCTTTGTCAGGGCAGATAACAGCCTAAGACATGACTACCCTCCATGACTTGCTTTTAGTTAGAAAGTTTTAAGTTCAGACCATCCATATGTGGTTACTTTAGGTTTCTGAGTTTGTAAGGCCATATGCAAGGCCTTCCCTGAGCTTGTCAAGGTTCAGCATGTGGCCCCTTTTTCGTCCACAAAAGAAAACAACAGAGGCAGAACATTAAAAGTGAACTGAAAAATCAGACAGAGGCCGAAAACCAGGACTACCGGCTTTATTAGAGAAGGACCTGCCGGGCTGTCTCGCAAGGGGAGGACAGCAGCCCATGCAGAGGTGGGCACGACTTTTGAGGGGCGGAATGGGAAGGGGGGGGGTCTTAGTGTACTCGGCGCACACTGATTGGTGGCTTACTGCATTGTCCATATAGGACAAGGGCTTAGGGTATTTGGCAGGTGTGGATTGGTGGTCCAATGTATAGTCCATATAAGGTACATGGTTAGTCACTCAGATATTTCCGGGCTGCAGGTTACGTCATACTCCGCCCACCAGTTGTGGGGAAGGGAGGATCTATCATGAACTAAAATAGAAATGGGAAAATTAGATTAAATGAATTAAATGAGATAAAACATGTAAAGTGATACTGAGACACTGCTCCATAAAACAAAATGTCTTTAATAAAGTTGGAAAACAATATTGTCATTTTCTCTTTAATATTGTCACTTATAACGAAGGTCAGTATGCAGTGCTTTTCACATTTTGTTCCAACACTCAAGTGGATATTTGTCATGTTTGTAGTTGCCAGCATCTTTTGAACACCCTTCCTATGTTTGGAAAATTTCCTCCATTTTGAGGTTTGCTTCCTAAAGCAGAAGCCAGAGCTTTGCTTCCTAGCCTCCCTTGCAGCTAGCACCTAGGAATGGAACTTGCATTCTTTCGCTCAGGCAGTCCCGTGTATGACATGAATTTGGAAAATAGCAGCATGACCCAGAATCCAGTAAAAATGGAGGAAAGGAGTCCAATCAATGGCGGGACCAGATCTTAGACTCTTCATCACAGGACTCTGCTTTCCCCATGTTCGTTTTATTGTCTGGTAGCCGGTCTCTATGCAGTGCTCCCAGGGCTCCATTACAATATCCCAGCTTATCAGTCTCAGAATTCTCATTTATTGCTTCATTAAAAAAACAAAACAAAACACCTAGCATCACAAAATAATAGCAATTTTATTCTGCCCATAGATTCTGTGAGTCAGGAATTGGAAAAATATACAGTGGGGACAGCTTGTTCCTACTTCATGATATCTGGGTACTTAGCTGGAAAGACTTAATGGCAGTATCACTTGATGGCTAGAAACCAGAATCAACTGAAGACTCATTGACTTATACCTGTAGCAGTTGGTACTGACTGTCAACTGGGGCTGTCAGCTGGAACTAGTACATGCAGTTACTTGGGCTTCCTCAGATTATGGTGTCTGGGTTCGTAGGTCAAGCATCCCAAGAGGACAAGGCGAAGTATATAGCACCTTTGACGCCCTGGACTTGGAAGTCACACAGCATTATTTTGCCACAGAGACAAGCCTTCCCATGTTCAATGAGGGAGAACACAAGCCCTCCCCCACCCCTATGGATGGTAGAGGTGTCAAGTCACAGTGGAAGAAGAGCAGTTGGGAAGAGAGATACTATTATGGTTTCCTCTTTGGGAAAATACAATCAGCCACACAGCAGACTAACATCTTCTGGTCTCCACTAGTTCAGAATCACCTGTATCTCTGATTAGACTAACTTGTGTTACAGACCCATCCTTAACAGCAGCCAGAGACACTTAATATAATCTTGAGGCTTCGGAAGTCACTACTGAGGGATGCCCTACCATAAGGCTGTGTTGTTCAGAACTGTCTTGTACTAGGGGCTTGTTGGAAGCTAAGTCTGAGGTTAAATAAAAATGTTACCCAAATAGTGCAATGCCCCCACTCCCCAGGTGGGGAGTGGGGCACACATCTTGTATTTGAGTGAGTTTGTAACTGGGCTTCTGTTACCTAAACTTCAAAATGGAGATATGAACTCTTACTTCACAGTGTTGTTAAGAACATTAAATTACATAATATATGTAAAGGCTTAGAACAATGATCATCACATAGGGCAGTGATGGCGAACCTATGACACGCATGTCAGAGGTGACACGCGAACTCATTTTTTTGGTTGATTTTTCTTTGTTAAATGGCATTTAAATATATAAAATAAATATCAAAAATATAAGTCTTTGTTTTACTATGGTTGCAAATATCAAAAAATTTCTATATGTGACACGGCACCAGAGTTAAGTTATGGTTTTTCAAAATGCTGACACGCCGAGCTCAAAAGGTTCGCCATCACTGACATAGGGAGCACTCAATACATATTTTTATTATAACCATTATAAGTACCTTGAAAGCCCAGTTCTATGAAATCTGAGGCCTCTGACAATTTGGTGCAATAAGATGGAGATGCTGGGCATCGGGTGGCGATCCTTGTGTTGTCACCCCATGGGTCTTCTAGATCCTAGCAGAGTCCAAGTTCCCCCTTTTCTCTCAGCAGGACAGGACATGGCCACAGGAACCTGCTCTATGTTCTTGTCTGTGTGCTCTGGAGGGCCAGGGCTGACACTCAGTAGGAGGGCTACTGTTGAGGATAGGACACAGGTGCAGGCCACTGAGGCCTCACAATGTTATGTGGCAAAGTGAGTCAGGAGCAGTTCCACCAGTTACTATCCTGAGGGCAGTCAATGTTCTTGACTGGAGCTCAGAGAACCAGGGCGGCAGGCTGTGTGGCAGTCTCCCCAGGTGGAGACCATGTTCCCAGGGATCCAGGACTTCCAGGAGGTGGCAGGGCAATGGGTTTCTTACCGTGAGACCCAGTGGGTGAGGAGCCAGCGGGCGCGGTCCCAGCAGAATGAGGTGAATGTGCGTAGTCTCCAGGATGATAGACGTTCTTAGTCAAAGACAGCGCCTGCCCGGTAGGTAGGAGCAAGGGCGTGGCTGCCAGGTCCTGCCTCGGACTCCAGGCCCCATGATGCTCAAATAGTTTGCTGACCACGGTTCAAACTGAACACATAAGCCTTGGTAGACTGGAGGCCCTGGTGGTGAGGAACGAAGCAGAAATCCTGGAAAAGGAGTCGATGGAGCAAAGTGAAACTCCTGCGCACAGAAAGGAAGGAGAGCATTGAAGAACAGTTAAGAAATGAGAACACAAACATGTATGCACGGCTGGGTCAAGGGAACAGAGAGGAGGCCATGGCACTACCAGTGAAGTGGTGCGGTGAGTGGGTGCCGGGAGCCAGCGGGGAAGACCAATTGGGCCACACCACCCTGCATTGGCGGTGGCACAGCCAGTGGTTCTCAACCTTCCTAATGCTGCGACCCTTTAATACAGTTCCTCATGTTGTGGTGACCCCCAACCATAAAATTATTTTCGTTGCTACTTCATAACTGTAACTTTGCTACTGTTATGAATCGTAATGTAAATATCTGATATGCAGGATGTATTTTCATTGTTACAAATTGAACATAATTAAAGCGCCAGTGAAGTGGTGAGGTGAGTGGGTGCCGGGAGCCAGCAGGGAAGACCAATTGGGCCACACCACCCCGCATTGGCCGTGGCACAGCCAGTGGTTCTCAACCTTCCTAATGCTGCGACCCTTTAATACAGTTCCTCATGTTGTGGTGACTCCCAACCATAAAATTATTTTCGTTGCTACTTCATAACTGTAACTTTGCTACTGTTATGAATCGTAATGTAAATATCTGATATGCAGGATGTATTTTCATTGTTACAAATTGAACATAATTAAAGCATAGTGATTAATCACAAAAACAATATGTAATTATATATGTGTTTTCCGATGGCCTTAGGCGACCCCTGTGAAAGGGTCGTTCGACCCCCAAAGGGGTCTCGACCCACTGGTTGGCGACCCACATATGTCACTATACTGTATGGACACACATTTCTACAAAGCGTTCTTCCCGTGTGACTTGTGACTTATGCAAAGAAGAAAACGACCCACCCATAGGGGTTCAAGACCTCTCCTTCTGCCCATTTCTCCGAGTTTGTCCCATTCCGGGTAAAACAAACCCCACACCGAGCCCTGGGCTCCATCCCTGCACCACCTGTCCCGGGAGCCCCCAGAACGCGCTCCTGGGAATCCAGAAGTTGATTAGTTTGTTTCCTGCGCCCGCGCACCTCGAAACCGGAAACATAACCGGCTGGGCCTGCGCGCGGCCCAGCGCCGCC